TCTGACATTCGCAGCATTGTAAAATGAACTACATCATCCAGCCATTACACTTCCTGGTATCACATGTAATTACTTTGTCTTATTGCAAAGGTAAGTAGTGTTTATTGCTTCCAAATATATTATAAAGGACAGAAGTGTCTTTCAACTGGGAGGTTGGAAATTTGACCACTTTCTGCTCTGTCAACGGTTCCTTTGACATTGAATAGTGACTAGTTTTTGATTTTATTTGTAATGATGAAAAAATATATATAACTCAAGACATATCTAGGTAGATTACCATGTTTTTGACTTGCCTGAGTGATACTAATGTGTACTTTGTTAAAATTATGTTGACTCATCACGAGATGTAGTTGCCATGCTAGTAGAAATTATCCCATGTTATACATGTCTTAGTGTAGGATTTGTTTTGTACCACATTTGTCCGATACTTCACATCTAACTTTTATTCATATGGTCCTAAAACTTTAAATAAAATGATATTAATAAACATACTAACAGTAAAAGGTGATGACCTTGCCTGAGGCAGTTGAGCTGCCTCATCATTATAGTCGGCTGGATTTTTGGCAACAGTGTTGCATTGTTGGATCTCAGTCCATCTGTGTCTGACATAAGAATTCTCCTCACAATGGTTCAGCCCTGCAGCAGGGAAGTTGACTTCCTGCCCTTGGTCAACACAGGTCACACATACCAAGCTCTAGACCCAAAGCGTGAGATTTCACTTCAAATTTAATATTAGCCCCAGGTTGGAGTGAATGTGTGCAGCCACGAATTCAAACCAATAAGCATTTTCACACATTATTAACATAAATATTCTTAATAGTGTTTTCAACTTCACAAAAGATGGAATTTTAATTACAGGGAAACTACGTCATCTAACCAGAACACATTTGTAGCAATTTGTAGAAGTCTTTGAGTTTCTCTTTCACATGTATCCTCTGAACAAGGAAAGTACCCACAATTCTTTGTCCACGGCATAGTTTGCATGGACATCCCAGGGTTTCGAGACCAAACTAAAATCACATAAGTTGGCTTGAATGTTTGAATTGAGTCTTTACATTTCTATGGGAAATCAGAAAAAAAGTCTCTTGCCTCTTGAAACGCACTAGCTGCATTTTAAAACCATATTTGTTGAATAAAAGTAAATGGAGTCCAAGTTGAGTCTCAGGGATTTTAAGTCTGATTCTAAGTCACACAAAAACAAAAGTGATTTCAGTGACGACAGTTTGTCCATGTCCCAATCACTGAAGAAATTTGGACTTATGTCTTCACAAGTTGAATGCAGAAGGTACAAATTCGGCTCATGGGGTTTTAATCAGTGTCTGAATTTGTCCAGTGCTGTCAAGCACTTAAGTAGGAAAGTAAAGTCATTGAGGACAATTTAATGTCATGTCCTCAGGGTCACTATCTGTGTCCACGGGCAGTCAACTCACAGTTGTTTCACTGCCTGAGTCACAGGAATATTCAGTTTTAACACAAGCCATCATCTGTGGTGTAAAGTTAGAAAATGACTAATAGAAAAAGTCGAGGTCAAGTCTGTGGAGGAGTCACCACTGTTTAAATATGAGCCTTTTCTCTGTCGTTTGTATTCAATATTCTGAATTAAAATGAAGCAACCCACACAAATGTCCAGCGCAGTGACATTAATTCTCATCTACAAGCTGCCACCCTAGGCCGTAAAGGCCAAATTTTCTGGATGATGTCAGTGGTGAGAGTAAAGGATGCCAAAAGTGCGGTGCATTCAGCATGGCTACAAAATGCACTCCTCCACAAAGTTGTCATTGCAGGAAGAATTGGTCATCAATCAGTCAGTGATGCTAATGAGGCTAAGACTTGTTAGCGTGTTCCATTCATAGAGTGCTGACTGTTTGCCCTGTGGTCACACATGTGCTTTTACTTGAGCTCCTTATTTCACTAATATCCAGCCTAGTGCTTTTCCTCTGCCCTCATTACCCAGCAAAAGAGACCGGGCAAAATAAAACCGTTAGAGCACCATTACATGATGTCTAACCTTCCTGTTTTGTCAACAAATGATTTTTAAAGTGGTTTTGCACCATTTCAACACGGCCTGCTGGGATTTAGTCCTATGTATTTGTTTTCAGAGATGGATGTTGTACATAGATTGTTTCCAGTTAACAAAAGCCTGCTTGGCTGCACAATGGATCCAGATTAGATTAAAGCTGCACTGTAAGAGCTTTTTGTTTGCGTTAAAGTGATTTTAACTCTGACGGTGACAGAGCCAAACACAGAACGCTGCTGAGAAGCATTATTTTTTTGTAGACAAAATCTCTACAAAGGATGTAGTGCAAGTACCAGAGGTTTTTGTCTGTAACAACTTACATCATACTGTCAAATGAAAACTGATGCAGCCACTGTAATTTTCAGGAAAAAGCAAAAGGAGTTGAGAGAGAGACGAAGTGCAAAGTTGCTTGTGTAGGAGAAAGACAGAAAAGGAGACAAAAAGCCCGGGGAGCAGCCATGTCATTACGTTTTCCTTGAACTCATGTCACGGACCCTCTGCTGCTATCAGTCTGATGAAGCATAGCTGGTGCTATGAGCAATCAGAGCAGCACATCACTTCATGGATCACAACACAAAAGCCCTGGATGCTCAAAGCTCTGAGACTTTGTAATGTCTCCACCGTCGACCCACGTGTCAAACAGCAGAGTGCGTTGTGTCCTCTGCACGTCTTTACGTGCCGTGACACTTGAGTCGCTGAGAGTTTGATCGAAGTAAAGAAATGTCACTTCGGGGTTAAGAGTCTGATCTCAGGAGCACACGATCTCCTGGAAGCTCTTAACCAGACAGATGTGTTCCAAGGTAAGATAATTAGGACTGTCACCTTTTTCAAAAATTTGGTAAATGTGCTACAAGGTATGTCTCTGTGAAAATTAGTCAGACAGAACCAACACACTCAAACTTCACCTATAGCACCTGACTTGTCAAAATAACTGATCATTTAGATCCTTTTTGTGCAGAAACTACAGTATTATACATACAGAATATAAAACTATGGAGGAGAGCGTCATAAAACTCTTAAACCCATAAAAATCATTACTCTGTCTCCAACACTTTGTTAATGTAATTTCCATACAGAAGATGTTTTTCATGTTGCTGCAAAAAGGGCCAAAAACACATTAGCATCTGGATGACACAAGGCTAAAGCCATGAGCAGCATTAGTCATCAATCAACACAATAACAGATAACTGGCGTACTGTAGATACTTTGAAACTACAACAATCCAACTTTAAAATGTTTTGATGTACTTTTTCACTTCTTTTTAGGAAGGCTGTTTAAGATTCTTGTGGACAAATGAGCAGAACTGTCTTCTTTTACTGATGAGGTGGTATCCAAAAGTGAGTGGTGTTGAGAGCACCCTCTGCTGGATCAAAAAGCAACTACTGAAATATTTGTGGACATTTTTAGCAACAGAGGTATACAGATTTAATTTACCTGTCCTTAGATCCTACCAAAACAATCCAGCTCACATCACTCATGCAGCCACCCACATTATACAGCCTCATTTTTATTTAATGTTTTCCTCTTAATGGGATCATAATTTACAAAACCAACATTAATGTAGGTTTAATAGATGAAGACCTAAACTTAAAATTTAAAGATTTAAACTGTCATGAAAATATTTAATGATATTGTACTGTATATTAAATCGCGAAAGGAATGTCAGGAGCTAGACATAAGTGTGTAAATGAGTGTGAGGTCAGAAATGATGATGCTGAGGTTTTCACTGAGAACAACCTTAGCAGGTACCATGGACAGGTGTTGCAGCAGTTTTTAGATAAAGTTAACGAGGTGAGGTTGACATGGTTTGGTCATATGATGAAGAGAGGTAGTGAAGTTATGTGAGTTGCCATGGAAGGAAGAAGAAGAAGAGGAAAAAGATTTGTTAATGTCATGATGGTGGAGGAAGAAGATCTGGTGACCCCTCAATAGAACAGCCAAAAAATTAATAAGAAGAAGAAGAAGAAGAAAAAGACGAAGTGCATATACATTTCTTTTTTATTGGTATTTGTAGAGATTATGTTCTAAAACCACTGAATCTTTTTCAGGGATTTACAGATGGCTCTGTTTAGGTCTAATATAGTCTAAGGTTTTTAACCCTGGTGTGTAAACCTTTACAACAAAGCTCAAACAAATGTTTGGATTAGATATCTGGATTAAAAAAGTGACGTCCATTTTTCACCCTTAAAGAAAGACCAAATGTAAACCCATCCCCTGAAAGGGCTCTTTAATCTCCCTAAATGTGTTGCTGTGTAAAACCAGAGGGTTTCAGTGTTACAACAAGAGTGTTATTTTATGTCCTGTGTAAGTGGACACATAAAGGGCACTGAGGTGTACGATTGTAACCTAATTATATGGTAATATGGAACACTTTAGGTGAAAACCAATAAGTCTACCATAACAGGTCCACCTAATGTAATTCCATTATTGCTCCATTACCTCCAAAAGGCTGGGGAAAGAAGGTAAAGCATATATTTTTCATCAGGGGGCTTCAGGGTATCACTTAAAGAGGGCACTTGGGAATAAGTCATCACTGGTGGGTGTATGTATTCCATGGCTTTGCCCAGAATAAACACTGGTTCTTGGAATCCTGAGGTTGGTGTAAAATAGGTTTTATATTGTTGAGGATTTCATTTGGATTTAGTGATATAGTGTGATGTACGTGTGTTGAAAATAGTTATTGCATCATTAACCTGCAGACTGTTGTCCTTTTCATGGTGTAGGCTTGTGCAGAGCTCTGCAGTTCAGTTATAAAACCATGAAAGTGACGTGAGCTGATTTCACACAAAGAAAAAAGTGACAGTGAAGACCTTGATTGTTCATAACAAGTTGTCTGATGAAAAGACGAAGGGAAAAAAACCTTGATAATTCCTCCTGAATATGTTTTCAGTTATAAAATAGAGAAATAGAGGGTGTTCTGCAACTTTCACCCATTATGTTTCATAGAATTTGTCAGACGGACAAATTAAAGCTGTCTGCCTACCTTCGTTGAGTCCCATGTGGATAGTCCAGTAGTTCTGCAGACACTGCAGCTCCTTCTTCATGCCTCTCTTGCAGCGGCAGTCATACAGAGGACTAACCAGTAGCACCTCTAGGGCAGCCTGACACTCTCTGTTGTTATCCAGCATGACTTCCTTCTCTTTGCCCACAAGGCACTGCCTCATCACCCGGTACCGAGAGCTGCAATGAGGGTTCTGGTTGCACATGTCACTGGCCTGGATGCAGTCCACCCATTCAGACTGAGCTCGAGGCCCAGACCCAGCACCTGTGGATGCAGGAGCATTGGTGCTCAAGGACAGAGACAAGGATGAAGGGCCTTCCCATGAACCTGCTGCCCCATCTGTTTTAAGAATAAGGGAACAAGAGTTATAAGTGACAAAGAAGCTGAAGGTGTTTTTTTTCAGGGGGAATCTGTGTACAAACATTGTAATTAGGGAACTTTTCCTGATGTTAAGCTCTTAAAGGAAGCTGCATCAGGGACTTATAATTAGTTTGGCTGGTCCCATTCTGTTGTAATGACTTCACTCGTCAACATGTTCACCTGGGGGTCTTGTTTTCTCCTCTCTGCTTGATTACGTAGTCACTGACCTGTAAAAGAAAAAACTGTAGCCCACCCACTTTAGTGCAATGTGGTGTAGTTCTCAGAATGGAATGGGATCAAAACAACTAATTATCTCATTAAATGAACAGCTCAGTGTAAAGCTGCGTTTGAAATCATATCGGGCTCTCCAGAAATGGGCTTATACTGAGCAAACGGCTGATCCACACAGCTGAGAACAGATGTTCCAGTTTGACAGGAGTCAGAATTTACTCTCGGGTTTAGAGGAGTTCAGCCGAAATGACAAGAGAGACCCCTTGTGGAGATGTTGAAAATCATCACCAGAAGAGAAAACTTGGTACGGGGGGGCGGGGAGGGGTGGGGATCAATTGTGTATTTATTTATGTATAGGCCAATATTTATAACAAAACAAAAATTTTAGTGGAAGAAAAAAGAACAGAAAAGATAATGGTTGCTTCAAATGTTCCGAAAGTGTATGGAAAAAGAAACGTTGGTGAAGAAAAAAAAACTTTCAAATGTTCATCTGAATTCTGTAATAATATGCATGTTATGTATATTTGGGTTTCGTTCAATGATTGACGTGCGGCGTTGGGTGAAAATTACGCATAATCCTGTTAAACCATCCAACTGTAATATGACCACCCACAAGCATTTTCAGGCATTTATTTGTATGGAACAACCTTGTGCTATTTACCTACTAGTTCTTACATAAATTCACATTTTAAAAAAACACCGCCATGAGCCCTGAATAATTAAAAATGTCCTTCATGACGCACAAATCCACATTAACGCACAATTATGAGACATATCTGTGCACTTCTTACCTAAAAGCAGGAGACAGATGTGAACACACATCCACACCGTGACAGACTTCATTTTGGTGGGGATAGAAAATGAGTTGAGGTCCAGTTAGACTGATATTTCCACTGCGTGGGGGCGGGGGGGACTCCTCTTCTCAAAATCCTTTATCGTGGTTTAGGTCAAGTGTAAAAAGTCCAAATCCTTATTCAACTTCAAAATACAGACGCGCCACCCGAGAAATATCCAAGTCTGACCAATTAATCCACAGTTCTTTTAGATTTGAGCACTTACCACGACATAAACACAACGCCTAATATTATAGGAAATAAAAATGCCAATCAATCACTACGTCAGTCACTCAATCCATAAAAGCGGTTTGTCGGGTTCCGTCTGCGCTCCGTTCATAACGCCAAACTACAGAGACTCGCTCTCTCCGCATCATAAGGGCGCACACTGGCCGCTTCACTGGCACCTTCTGGAGACAAGTTGTGCCTAAAACATTCCTCCAGCCGGTGATCTCTGCTCTATCAGCTGATCGAGGCTGAGGAAGTGCCACGGCTCGGAGGGAGCTGCAGACCGGACGTGTTCTCCTCACCACTGGAACGCGCTCCTCTGGTGGCACCGGCACTGAGAGCTCCTTTAGCACTGACTGAATGCAGGCGCGCCGACGCTTCGCAGCACTTTATAAAGGGAGCGGAATTTGAAAAGCCGATAGATGGCGCTGCTACAGGGGTGCAGTCACTGTGTGGAAAAAAGGGGGGGACTCTTTCACACTAATAATACATTTTTACACCTCAAAAATGCATTGTGGTCAGTGCCTACAGGGGGCTTCATGATTATCCGTGGTAGTAGTTTTAGTTGCGGTAGAAGTAATAATAGTAGTATTATGTATTTGTATATATTTATGTATGGTACGGTATGGTATGGGATAGTATGGAATGGTACACGGAGTTAAAAAAAATACACACAATACTTTAATTGCTATAACACTATGCTATACTTCAATAATCTGTAATCTGTATTGTACTTTGCTGCTGTTGCAATGTGAATTTCCTTGCTTTTTATTAGTAGTAAGCAGTTTTATTATTATTATTACTAGTAGTAGTAGTAGTAGTAGTAATTTTAGATTTAAATCTTCTAATCACAGGGTAAATGTGGATTAATATTGACCAATCAATAGGAATCATACTTGATCAGGTTTGACAATGATTAATAGAGATAAATCTACATTTCTAAAAACAAATCAAAACTCCTGCATGTTCCACCTAGGTGGTGGATTGTGGTCATTGCCGTGCATCCTGTCAGTGACTTGCAGACTGTGTCAAAAGTTACTCTTCAGACTAAGGTGAAGTTGTTGTCCTCAACAGTATTATTAAATTTTACGTCTACAGTCCCTCACAGTTCATTTGATAATAGTGTCAGTCAGCTTGTTAACCCCTGAATTACTCACCATCCTACACCGGTCTGACCCAAGCTGACCTGAAAACCCCACAAACATGTTGTGCGTGCATGATTGTATTTTAAGTGCTTGGGTGAAATTGAAATTATTGGATACACACTGTGTGCTAATCTATGTGCATTTAAATGTATTAAAAATTTAATCTGATAAATTTCACAAATTAATTCACACAATTAACACATTCATTTGGATAGCATTTTTGATAATGATAACAAAATATATATTTTAGAGAGTGGTGGCTAGCTTCAGCATCTCCATTCATGTTAATCAAACAAGCAACCATAGCAGCAGAACATTGGCAATACTCTTTTTCTACCTAAAGATGTCAAGGTTGTAGTTTTACACCAACTTGTTGCAAAAAGAACACTGAAAGAATGAGGCTACTTCTGATTGGTCTGTATCATCATTTCCTTAAAGAGTTTGTAGTCAATATCTGTAGCTCTTCTTAAAAAGAACATGTAAATGGCGTGCTTTTCATGCAAATTCCATTTAAAGTCCATTAGGGGAAAAAACATGATGTGTGGGCAGTAATGGACCAAATAAGTGGACACTAATTGTCAACATCTGATATGAACTTCAAGGAACTGTGCACTTTATGGCTTATGTTGTTGTGTTCATTGTAAGATAAGGGGTTGCTAACTGAGTGATAGATACTAAAAAGTGTTGAACTAAAGAGTGATAAAAAAAAAGTCTGATAATAATATGTTCTAACAATTATATTTGACCAAAAAAAAAATGCTTTTGAGCAAGAGAAAAAAAAACATTTACTTTCCTTGGCCTCTGCGTGACATATTTGACATTTCTTTTGCTGGATTATCATGTATTATTCTAAAATGTCTTTGAATGAGGATTATTATTCCTGATGCTTTGTCTTTATAACAATAATGAATATAATGCCATAGTCACAGTGTGTGTATCAAGGCCACTTGATAGTGAAATTGTCTGCTGTGAAATTGTCTACTAATGAAATTGTCTGCCAAAATACAGTGAATGACCTCATATTTACCTCATATGGGCCTCGAGACAATTGATTTTTAGCAGCCTTCAGGCCTGAATTCTTGCAACTATAGAAATGCACAAATGATTCAGAAGTTGAACAGTGGATGGAGCAGTGATGAAGAAAATGTCATCATTCATTCCAGCAATATCCCGTGCACTTCACGTTGCATCTGTTTCCTCTGATTGAAAGAAATATTGGAATAAAAGAATCAGGCACAATGTCTGGCATTGTATCTATGTTCACAGGAAATAAGCCCACAAACCCACAGAAGCTGTCATTTTTCAAAGTGGTTTTGCATTAAACAAAATGACTTTGTTGTGCATCATTGCTTTGAAAAAAGTGCCAGGAATGTCATAAATCTTTGCAAATCTTGAAAACAAAGTCTCTATTTAGAGGCAGTGACAGTGACAAACTGCAAGGCCACTGGTTCATAATGATGTCTGACTGTCAGTGCAGGCTGCCAACCAAGAGGGAGAAGCTTCTTGCTCTTATGATGGCAAAATCAGCCACATTCTGCCTATATTGGCCTGGGCTTATTCTCTTCTCCCACCAGATTTTCTGTCATTATTAGGGACACTGTAAAGCATCATCCACCACCACAAACATATCAGTTTTACTTTTATGCAGCACTGGCTGCAACATTTTTAGACTTCAACTGCCTCCCAAATGCATATACGTATAATTCCGTGCAGAGCTGCAACCTTTTCCCTTTCTAGCAATTATCTTCACTAGTAGGCCAATTTTCCCTTTTCTGTATTTCAGGAAGAACAGAGGCAAATACTTAATAAATTTTACAACTGCCTGAGCAGTAGCCTCAGGAGGAGGAGGAAGAAATGTGTACTTATACTGGAAAGAATTAAAATGAGCAGTACGTTCAAGGCCAGTGAATAAAGCAGGATTTGCATTTGGTATTTTTCAAGCATCACATCATTTCCTTCCATTATATGAACAACATCTTTAATTTCCCCCTTTTTTTTACACTTTTCTTTCTTTCTTGACCCAGACTGTGAGGTCCACCGTGAGAGTTAATTCTTCTTGATGTCGGCGTGATTAGCTGACTCTGAGGAACCTTAATTGCTCCTTTCTGACTTCATAAGACATTTGTTGTTTTCTTGCATGTGCAATCAAATAAGAGACTGCAAAGAAACTAGCGCGCACGCACACACACACATGAACACAAATTTTGAAGGCCCCCACACTCCCCTTCATAAATCAACATATACTTATGTGCAAAGGAAAAAGAGCTTGTGGACACATTCATGCAGATGCACATAATCTGTATGTCAGATAAACCAGTCCCCCCGCAGGATAGCTCTGAGAGCGTGAAGATAGGAAATGACAAATCTGGATATGGAAGACATTGTTTTCAACTGTTGAAAGAAATAAGCGTCTGTCTCTGAGAAGTGTGTCTAAAATGGTGAAGATATCATTATCAATTCACAAGATATGAAATAATAATAATAATAGAACAGTTAAAGTTGAGCCTCTGCATATTAACTTGTATTCAGCAAAACACTGGCATATGCTCTTAGTTGAACCGAGAGTTTACAGTGTGTTACCTTGAAAGCAGGATATTTGTGTTTAAAGCCTCATATTCTCGGAAATAAAAGTGCTTTCAGAATGCTTGTAACCGTTGTCTGGCCATTATTCAAACTCCACCCAAGGGATCTGAGGACATTTAGCTATCAAAGTGGTAATTGCCAAGTGTTAACCTGTCCTCATTTAGCCATCAGGGTGTTAACCCTCCTAGAAAATGCCACCGTCTTCAAGTTTAACAGCTAATCCAATAAGAATTTAAATTCAAATGGGTTGTGAGGGCAATGTTGATAAGCGTTTGCTTCACCTCACCTCAAAGCTCTGCAAACACAAAATTTATCTTGAGATTTCTAAAAGGGGCAAAGGTCCCTGTATCTCTGTGTGCTGGTCATGCGTTTTGGAGAAAGTAATAATAAAATGCATGCAAACCCACACACACACACATGTACACGCACAGACACCCACACACACACAGAGGTTAAGCATGACTGATTAGATTAGGAATTATGTGGCTAATTAATGTGCATCTTTAAAGACCTGTGCTGCATGCTTATTAGCAGACACAGCCTGACTTGTGTATGAAACATGAATAAAACTTCAGAGCCACTCATCCTCCATTACTACATTTATTTAACAGTACACCATGATAGCTCTGATATTTCCTGATTCATTTAGTTGGGGTTGGGATACTAAATTGGACTCTAATCTCTATCTGTGTATGTAATCATAAATTGTTCACATTCAGAAAATAGTTTTTAACACAAAAAACTCCACGAGTCCTTGATGTTTTGTATTGTTCTTTTTAAACAGTTTCAGTTTGAAACGTGCACTGTGTTAAAAAACGAGGAACTGGTTAATGTTGCAGAGCACTGGTGAGCATATTTTGAGCGACATAGAAACGTTAGCTCTATAGCAGGGGTGTCCAGAGTTTTTCAGCTTGGGAGCTACTTTTCAAATGGGTAAAGTTATCAACCTACATTGAAAACTATAAATATATATTTACTACTTATATTAAATGGCTGTAGTTGTATGGCACAATACCGTGTGACTCAATAGTTCTATGGTCCTTACTTTAGCCCTAGTGATTAGTGTTATGTCGCACAAAACACAGACAACGGCTGTGTCAACTGTGTACTTTGTTTTGCTATAACCATAACTGCCATAACCATAACTGCCATAACCATAATTGCCATAACCATAATTGCCAACACTTTACGCCAGTGTCTTGTGACGTCACACTGTCGTAACAAGTACCGTTTTTCGGACCATACGGCGCACCGCATTATAAGGCGCACTATTAATGAACTGGAATAGTTTCATACATAAGGCGCAGGGTTATAAAGCACATTAAGCGAAACAAAACAGTCAGCGAAACAATCAAGCGGAACAATCAAGTACGCCCGGATCCATCTCGCCATTATCTGAGTCAGTCTCGTTGCTGTGCTTCCTATGATTCCGACCTTCGTGAAAGGTCGACATTAGAGACTGATATCTTAGTCCAGACTTCCACGATCCATTGGCTGATAGTGGCGTAACTCGCCCGGCGTTGCCTCCCTGTCTTGGTGAATGTGTGTTTGCCTTCTGTCATCCAGTGCTCCCACGCAGATTTAAACGACCGTCAAACCCAATATTTAGCGGTTGTT